CAAAGGGGAGCTTAACGTGATAGGGCCATAGATACCGACCACAACTTTAAAGTTTCCCATGCATGATGACCTAGACAAAGAATGCTTCTTGCCGGTGAACATGGGGTTCAGATACCAGAATGTGGGTCCTCTGGACTGCTGCTAAACAAGATGGTGAGTAATTCAATGGAAATGCCTCATGTTTAGCTTAACTAGAGGCGTGAAAGTTTAAACGATACAGGCGAAGTCGCCACATTGTTGCCAACCTTTTGAGTAAAATCTATTCCATGTTCTCGTGGAAGCTGCATATAAAAGCAAGTGTAGGATTGAATGACTAAGTCCGTAGGGTCCACCATAGCCTCCTTGATCACAGTACTACCATCAGGAAAACTAGCACTCTAAAGTGTGCACACAAGTAACCGCATGCTTGTTTGGAAGGATAAACATCAGGGACAGATTCAGAGCAATCTGGTCTAACTGAACCGATTCAAAGTGTAAAGTAAGTGGATATGAGAATTCACTTACATGCATATTGTACGACGGGTTGTCGTTGATATGATCCATAAGCATTCGATAATTCGAGGTTTGGAGGTTCCACTCGTTTGAAGTCAAAAAGCGAAAATCGTCTCCCAGAGGCACCAGTACAACATTGCCATTTTTGAATAGCTTTGCCTTCTTCCGATACTGGTCCACCAGTAATTCAGCTCTTGGAAGAAAAGAACGAAGGTTACGGACTCTATGATGGCTGCTCCGTGTGCAACTTATCCCGTCGACAATGTCCAAAAATATGCTCAACCCTGTAACTCCTCAAATTTGAACTTTTCTAAGCTACTGCATTGAGAACATCACTATCGGCTGGACAGGCTAAACAATACTCCGTTTCGGTGAATTTATTGTTAAGTCACTCAACAACAATGGCTATTTCAACTCACCGAGCCTGCACATTCGATGGAGTGATCGGGGTTGGTTGAACGCCCCACGGACACTTTAAAACGGTTCGCATAAAATCGAACTGACAGCAAATACTTGGGTCGGGTCCGCAGGTATGTGGAACGTCGTAGGCGTAGAAGGGCATAAGATGTGTAAAAACTCCCATTTCGCCAGACGAATCTACCAGAGGAAGGAAATGAATTTTAAAACCATCTCCCTACCCCAGGACTGGCGCCAAACAAACTCGAGGTCCTGTGTTCTAGCTAGAGCCTTTTTGACCTCATAATGAACACGATTAATGAGAGCATTTTTAATGCCTGCCTTGCGTAGGATATAGGAGCCCGTTGCACTATACCCGAACACGTCTATTGCCCAGCTCACATTTGGTACGACGCCTAAAAGTTAAGAAATAAAAATGTGGCCTTAGTATGAAATCATAGCGCTCGCGAGTGACAATGACCACTTGCCAAGGTTGTCAAGCAACCAATGTTGACCTTCGATGAGCTGCGATATGACTGCACCATAGTGAGTCAGGGCCTCATCATGCACGACCCAACCACCGACGGCGATTTCCCATTGACCATCGCGGACAAGCCTGGATGATGGGAGAGAGAAAGAAGACTGCCATTACTCTACACCAATGCGTGCATTTACTGTTTCTACATAAGCCAGTGAAATACTAACTTAGTGAAGAGGGTCCGCACTGAGGGGGAAAGATTTGTCCACCACTTGTCCAAATAAGCGATCTCAGCGTAGATGAAACGAGAGAATGGATTTTTGCCCAGAAAGTCGACAGTAGCATCTAGGCCTTGGTGTGTGCTTCGCGAAAAGTACTCGTTCAGCGTCATTAACCACCCTAGAAAGCAAAAGCGTAACCATGTGAGAAAGATTAGGAGCTTATAGCCTCACATGGTATCGTAAAGGCCCACCCATGGCTTGCAATAAAACTGCGTTTATCTCAAAATATCTTCAAGAGCAACCCGAGCGGTACACCTGTAACTGAACTGGTAGACTTAACTAATGTTTGAACATTTAAAAACGGTAAGGAAAGAAAAACATCTGTTGTGAATAACTAAGTCCGAGCAGCTCCATGGAAAGAAATAGCAGAAAACT